TTATGATAAATTTTCCAATATCATGAATGAGGATAAGTGAATACTTAAAATATGGAAGTGCGTAAATGTGATTCTATTATTTACCGTTCAGACTAATAAATCACAAAATATACAGTAAAATTTTTAGAGTTTGCACGCAGCACCTTATTAACATACATTAACATATTAGAATAAATAATGAAATTTATCAAATGCGTACGTGTTCTTCTTCACAACAATCTGTTAATCTTATTTTGTTACATTTTAATATAATTATGCAAACATATAACCAAAAATTTATCATATCTCAAATTATATCTCAAAAAGTTTTAAATACCAAATTGAAAGAAATTTTACACAGTTTAAAAGAAATTTTATGACAAAATTTCTTCGATATTTCACGAAAAATATAAAATATGAAGAAATCATATTACGTTAACAGAAAAATGCATAGAATTATATAGATAAGTATTTAAAACGGAGTTCCCAAAGTGGCGCCTATCGCCTCCCTGCGGGACGCTGGAGGGATCGGTGGGGGGATGGCATTGCTGTCCTCAGGAAACAGTAGGGGGGCGTTGAACATTTTTTAAGCAAAACTTATCCACTTGACTTTACAAACATACAGTTATGTATCAATTTGATTAATATATTACGAATTTATTTAATATTTGATTTATTACTAATAAAGTAAGCAATCTTATGTTTATGTGCAATTTCTTTGTTATTTTATTTTAATAAATAGCTTTAAAATTTTCAGTTCCAAGTTGTTTTATTTCGAAACTAGCTTTTTGAAATTCAAGAATTACAGACACATTTACGCTTACAATTTTATTATTAGTTGAGATAAAGATAGAGATTTCCCGGGGGCGCTAAAAAAGATTACCTTTGAAAAGGGGTGAGCTAAAAAGTTTGGGAAACTCTGATTTAAATATTGCATATACCAGGGTGTCCTAGACCATCCGTACACCCCTTTTCTTTCAAAAAACTAAGCATTTTAAAGATAAACGTTTCCGACAAAAATTGTATGGTTTTAAAGGAACATAAGATGGTGTCATTGGTTTAATCTTGGATGGCATCGTTAAGGTCAAGTTAAGAACATCTATAATTTTTTAAATGGAACCACGTATTTTTTATTGCGTATTCTTATAGCTTATGTCAAGGGCTTTTCCAAAACACTATAATAAAGTATTTTTTCGTCAAGTACTTTTCGAGTTATAAGGCTTGAAATCATTTCTTAATTTTAGATACACCATAAAATATCTTGTAAAATATTCATTTTTCGATTATTTTTTATGTACAAAATAATGAGATGAATCAATTGGTGTAAAGAAAACATACAGTTTTTTAAGAAAAAATATGAAATTTAATTGCAAATTACATATTTTTCTTAAAATAACTATGTGTTTTCTTTACACTAATTGATTCATCTCATTATTTTGTACATAAAAGTATTATGGTAAGATAATCGAAACATAAATATTTTACAAGATATTATGGTTATGTAAAATTAAGAAATGATTTCAAGCTTTATAACTCGAAAATACTTGATGAAAAAATACTTCATTATAGTTTTCGGAAAGCTCTCGACATAAGCTATAAGAATGGCATTAAAAAATAGGTGGTTCCATTTAAGAAATTAAAGTTGTCCTTGACCTGACCTTAATGATGGCACCATCTTATGTTCCCTCAGGACCATACAATTTATTTTGTCGCAAACATTTTTCTCTAAAAATGCTTAGTTTTTGAAAGAAAAGGGATGTGCGGGTGATCTAGGACACCCTGTATACAGAGTACTATATACAGAGCACTATATACAAGCTTGTGAGGAAATAGAATGCAGTAAACTGAACAGAAAAGTCTTATACCATTTTCGCAAAATGACAGAAATATTAAATATTAAAATCGGACAAATGAAATAAGAAGCGCTCCTTTCTTCCGTCTAATTTTAATATTTAATTTCAGCTATTATTGCGAAAATTGTAAAATAGTATGAGACTTTCTCTTCAATTTACTAATCTCTCCTTACAAGCGCTTGTATATAGTGTTCTGGGATGCCCTGTATACGCAATTATTAAAGTACGACATTAAACAACGTCACATTATGTCTTATATTTATATTATGGTTAAAGTTCTCTTAGCATGTTAAAGCGATGTACGATAATGACAAATAAATAATAATAAGAAATAATATTTAAAAAATAATACATATGATATTAGAAAGAACTTTTAAATATTAATATTTACTTACACATCATCTCCTTTGTTCATTGATATAAGATGCTACAAAAAAGCCTTCCTTGTTATAAAAGTCGTTATGTAGAATACCAACATATCGCATCTTCAATGTATAATTTCCAGGTAACAGTTTATCATTAAAGTGAAGAACTAAGATTTGTGTTATATTATCATAATTATGCATTGCCGGTGTATAGATAATACCATTGTTACTAAACAATGATGTCATTGCTTCGTTTATTGTCAATTTCAATACATGTAAATGCAAATTTTGCGTTACATGTCGAATTGTAATGTTGATATTGGATTCTCCGTCAAAAGTAAAATTATCTTTCACAATGTACGGTATTAGCTTAATATTGTAATGTATCGGAACTACGTGGTCTGGTAAACGATAATTAATCGCGGTATCGTTGTTTGAATCTTTGTCAACAGAAATCGCTGTAGTAATAAATAATAGTCCAAGATTTATTAACAATTTCCAAATAGCCATGTTAATACTCTTTTCAAATATCTGCAAAAATATTTTCAAAATAACATGATATAAACTGTAATTTTTTTTTATATTTTATATTTTATATTATATTTTTATATTTTATATTTTTTATGATAGATATGATAGATTTTATATATATATATTTATTATTTTATATTATTTTGTTTTTTATTTTATATTTTATATTTTGGAGATCTTAGCATTTTAACATATTTTAACGATGATGAAGGCAAAAGTATGAAAAATAGACAATAAGATAAGATAATAATAAAATAGATAATAATACACAATAAATAAGGAAACAATATATATGATATTAGAAAGAACTTTTTTCAAATGTTATTATTTACTTACATAACCGATATTTAACTCACGAGATGAAATGCAGACTGTGAACTAATACCTTTTATTATTTGGTGTTCTCTAATCTGGAGGGTCCGTTAAAATGTCGCCCATTTATGTTGACGAACCCGAAAAGACTAAATCCGAAAACTAAATCCGTTCACTATTTAAAGCCACGGGAATGTCTATTGTTTTCGACCACAATAGAGTTACAGGTCATCATTAAATATATGTATATATATTTAAATATATTTATGTTGTTGTTTTCGTTTCGTTTTCGACTTTGTAATTTAAAATGAGATCAAACAAACGATCACAAAATCACATGTTGTAGATAATTTTTTAATTATTATTATTTTAGTCAATTTATTTTAATTTTTAATATTATATAAAATTGACGCATAATCATCCGTGGTCAGCTCATATTGCTCGCAAAAATTCAATTTTGTGTTTTCGCATAAAGCCTTATTAATCTCTTGAATGCTAACATTAACTTCATTTGGAATAACATTTTGAAAACTTGGAATAATTGCAATAGTGTCACTATAATTGTCATAGTAGTACAGTTTCCAAATAAATTACAATTTATATAAATAGTCTTATATATTGTATAGTCACAAAACTATGCAAAATTCGCAAGGTTGATAAGTAAAAATAAATTAAAAACACATACCATGAATTAATACTTGTGATGATTCATTAGAGATCAACAAAAGTATATTTGTAGAATTTTGTACATTAACTTGCATAGGGATTAAACGATACCAATCAATATTATCTTACTCATTCATGCAAACTAACTTCTTATTTTGCATATAAAATTCTAATAATTATTATTGTATCGTGTTCGTTAGCAAAATGACTCAGCACGTATTACGTCCATTTAATTCAAAAATGTCTATTTTTCGTTACAGTTAAATATAATGATTTATGAACAATTCATGTAGATAAATAAATGAATAAATATATATACATATATATATATATATATTATATATATATATATATATTTATATACAAATTATAATTCAATTTATTTATAATTTTATTATATGCAGTCAGATCTATATTGTATGTGCAATACAATATAGTAAAATCATTTGAATAAAAGACAAAAAAAACAAAATTATGAAGCATAAGTTTAGAGAGATATTAATGTAGATTTGTTAAGAAAATTATAATGTAATAAGTTATATAAGTATAGATAAATCCACATTAATACTGTCAAATATATCTTATATCGACGCATTCAAAATATAATAATGATTAATTTTTTCATTCTGAAAAAGATTAGAAAATATTTTGTAAAATTCTTAATGATTATTTGTAAACGCATGCTATTTCTATCATTCATAAATTATTGTTGTTTAAAAATTTTAGTAACAAAATTTTTAATTTTCTGATAATTCTTAAGTTATTATTTATTGTTATTTATTGTAATTGTTGTTTATTGAAAAATGTAAAATATTATTCATTTACAAAATAAAGTTTTGATGTAAAAAATAAAGTTTCACTTATATAGTGTTTTATTGATAGATTTATTATATCAGCAATTTAACGATAAAACATTTTAAACTTTCTACTTTTAAGTTGAATTATTATTACACTGAATACTTCACCAAAAAAATGTCTATGTGAAAAGATAAACATATTACTTACTGTGTGTGTAAATATTTAATAAGACCATTTCGAAGAATCTCGTCGGAAATTATATGTTGTAACATACCCATTATAGCGGGTACTGCAATAATAATAAATAAATTCAAAAATTGATATACATAAAATAATAATAATAAAATATATTATCATCCATAAATTTGTGAACATAGCTAATAAAAGAGAACATTAAAGATAAAGATTGATAAACATATCACTAGTAAAAATTTTTCTTATTGTTTCTTCTTTTTCTTTAGATCACCTATGTTCGTAAACTTGAATGATAACTTATTTATTTTATCGTACCCTTGCCATAATTAGTATCGAAGAGTGATTCAATTTCATTGGGTCTATTGACTTCTAATATAATTGAGCTCATATTCATATGAATATCCTTCTGAAGAATTGTTTGCTGAATATTAACAACAAAGTATTCCATTATTCGTCAATCCTCGAACATCTGAAATATACATAAGTTTTAATTTCAATTAATTAAAATTGGATTTAAATTAAAAATTTAATATTAAATTAATAATAAAATATCAGTTACTATGATATATAATAATAATAATAAAGAAATCTGTCTTAAATTCTTAAGTAATCATAATCTAAAATTATTAGCAATATATTTTTTCATATAGAAAGTTACTAATCATTATATTATATTTTGTCATATAGAAAGTTACAACTGTATTATATTATATTTGAATTTAATTGAAACGTTTTTGCGAAATCTATTGCAAAATTTGCAATAATGAACCTACCTGATTGAGAATATATTCTTCGAAAAACGTCGTCAAACCCTCACTTAACCATACATGAGACCACCATGATGGAGTGACTACATTACTAAGCCATTGATGTGCCATTTCATGTACTATTATCTCCGCTACATCTAGTTTAGCAGATATTGTGTTGAAATTTTCATTGTATGCAAAGCTTGTTTCACTAAAAATTATTATATAAATACAGTTATACTCATGTCAAAATATTTTATAATATAATTACGTAATCTATTGTAAAACATTTTACTTAAAATAATTATAATATATAAATGTGGAAGTTTATATATACAATAATTATTTAAAGTAATGAATTTTTATATATTTAAAAAATGTATAGATATACAGAGAAAATATGTGTATATATGTATATCTAATTTATATTTTAAAATTATATCTTTTCAACTTTTGTAGAATCCAAAATAGAATTCAATTATATTAATTATCTTTATTCTATTTGTGTATCTGTGTGTGTGTGTGTGTGTGTGTGTGTGTGTTTGTGTGTGTGTGTGTGTGTGTGTGTGTTTATACATGTATAAACGCCCGCGTGCGTGCATGCATATACTTTATATTTTATAAAAGTATTCCACAGAAAAAAATTTAATTTTGAATTCAATTTTAAATTATTTACATAACCAAACAATTTTAAAAATACCCCTTTCTATAAAAAAAATAATTTTTATTATTTTAAAAACTAAAACAATAAATAATAATTATAATTTCCAGTAAAATAAGTAATCTATTCTTTCGTGAAAATCTATAGTTATAATATTCAATATTAATTAAGCAGAATTAATGATTTGACAAAAGTTAAAAAAATTTTGAATTTATATGACACAAGACATCTGAAATGCTTTATTCTATTGATATTTTTTTTTAAATTGCATATATTACACAAAAATAATAAGTCCCCAATTTTCCATGGCATTAGATATGAATCGTGGGAGTATTACAAGATCCATTTTGGAACTTCAGAGGTGCTGTTGGTGTATTCTGTCAATAGCCTTTTAGATTTTTGAACAACTTCTTGTGCAAATTTTGTATGCGGCACTACTTTCGATCTGCACCATATATTAATGGTCTCATCTTCAGTAGGAACGCGAACGTAATCAACCACCACAAATGCTACGAGATAAGTTGACATGATGGGAGTCGTGTCAAAGTGCGTCCATATCATGCCATTTTTATTATCCTCCGATTTTTCCCGTATTGGCATATTGGATAGAATTGTATAATTTTGATGATGTTTTATAGAGATATCGAAACTAGCTTTTAATGCTGGCTCATCCCAACATGGAAACGCTCGTCGCGTATAAGTCGGTTTGAAATGCGTTGCAGCCAACCACCTACCACATTTCAATGACACGCTTTTAATTATGATAAATTTTTTGTCGTCATGAATAGGAATAAGTAAAGTGCTTAAATAAATATGGAAACGCGTAAATGTGATTCATTATTCACGTTCATTATAGTATATAAAATTTTTGCATATTATTAACATATATTACTAACATATATTATTAACATATTATTAACATATATTAATGCTATTGAATAAAGATATATAAACGCTATTGAATAAAGATATAAAAATGTAAACGCCAATAAAATTTATCAAATGCGTACGCGTCTACCTCTTCAAAAATCTGTTAATCTTATTTTGTTAAATTTTATTGAACATAATTATACGACAAAATTATACAATCGTCCCAAAAATTTTCTTCAAACATTTTAGAATTTTAAAAAAATTGAAGGTAAAATTTTACTCCGTAATTCTATGGAAAATATAAAATATGAGGAATCATATTACATTAATAAGAAAATACATGGCATTATATAGAGAAGTATTTAAAATATTGTGTGTGTGTGTATACAGGGTGTCCCATTTTAAGTGTCCATCTCAAATATCTCTCTCATTTTTGATTTTAGAGAAAAATGGTTCAGATATGTTTTGTATGGTTTCGAGGGGGTCATAAGATGGTATCATTGATTTGATTTTGAAGAGTCATTTGAAGGTCATGTGAAGATTACCTCAATTCTTTTAAATGGCACCCCTTATTTTTTATTACATATTCTTGTAGCTGACCTCGAGTGCTTTCCAAAACACTATAATAAAATATTTTCTCGTTAAATATTTTTCGAGTTATGCGGCTTGAATAATTTCCTAATTCTACATAAATCATAAAATATCTACTAAAATATTCATTTTTCGATTATTTTACCTTAATACTTTTATGCACAAAATAATGTGAGAAATCGATTGGTGTAAAGAAAACACATAGTGTTTCAAAGAAAAAAATATGTAATTGTTAATTGCAAATTACATATTTTTTCTTAAAAATTATGAATATGAGATATGAATCGTGCGAGTACTACAAGATCCATTTTTGGAACTTTAGAGGTGCTGTTGGTGTATTCTGTCAATAGCCTTTTAGATTTTTGAACAACTTCTTGTGCAAATTTTGTATGCAGCACCAATTTCGATCTATATATTAATAGTCTCATCTTCGATAAAAACGCGAACGTAATCGATCACTACAAACGCTACGAGATAGGAAGACATGATGGGAACGGCTAGTAAGAATTCGATTCGAATTCAGCCGTTATTGAAATCCAATAATTTAAGTTACTCTCATCTGTCGTATCTCCGATTCGCGTATAGATACACGGAGTGTCGCGCTAATGCTTCGCATGAACTTGCCGCGAGGCACTACCGTATGTTGACCCGGATTGTTTACATTATAAACAAATATATCTCCAATAAAATGTAAAATATTAGACATTATGTAATTAAGTATTTAATCTGTATTTGATTACGATCCGGGCACACCAAGTTTTCATAACTTACTTCGATTTAAAGACTGCAATTTGAAACCTGCGTACAATTTTTTTTTCAAATTATATACATTATATAAAAAATGTTTTAAGAATTAAAATAATCCTAATTCTTATTAAATATTTTAAACATCAATTTTCTCTGAATAAATATAAAATGGGTTTTAATTTTTCTTAGGAGGATTTATGTATAATATTTCTATAATGTAAGATTGATATTTCATGGCAAATATTATATCATATTTACAAATGCTCTTAAGTACTTGGCTAATAGTAATTATTGATTTCATATTTATTTTATATTTAGTTTTGATATTTTATTTTTTAATATTTTTTTAGGAAAATTATTTGTTGAGGTTTTATTTTTTAGAAAAATGATTCTGTGAGGGAAAATTATTGTAAATTACTTTTAAGGACTTTCTTCATTAAATATTTTGTTGAATACTAAGTAGAATATTCTTTATGTACGTGGCGTATTTTTTCTTACTTTTGTAAGAATTTTTTTCAAGGGATATACGTATTTAAGTTATTCATGTATTCATGTACATTCGTTCACAGTCACGTAATTCGCATTCAGTCAGCAGTTATTTCGATATTTTATCCGCGACTCTTATCCATGTGCCGTATTAAGTTGATTCATAACTGAATAAAACTTAATCTACAATAAAAACCATAATGCCGCTAATTCGCACGATAGTCATCAGAGTCATTACCGATCTTTCATCAAACTTCCAAAGCAATCGCTTTTCCGAAAACAATCAAGCAGTAATTCCATTATTTTTATCAATTTTTTTTTCTTTATATTTCATCTCTTCCGATATATATCCTATGGGAGATGTATAATCTCTTATCTAATTAGATGTCATACCCATGTCCAAACGAACACATACACACACACACACGCACACATATACACATGTTCATATGTAAAGATTAGAGAATAATTATTATCTAATTATTATCTAATTATTATCTAAATATATAATTATTATCTAAATATATAATTATTATCTAATTACTATCTAATTATTATCTAAATTCTATCTTAATTGATTTTATCGTTATAAATTACGTTAACTACTCTTTTCTGATTAATAATAAATTCACTCGGTAATTTTAATGAAATTTTGCATTCCATTTAATTAACTCCTTTCATCATCCCTACTTCTGAATTACACTAAGTCCTGTCTCCAGTAATAAGGATTAAATTTCTTTATCAAAAAGGGATCATTGAATGGATATAGGAACATATCATAAACAATGTAAAATTTCTCTTTGATGTTTTCGACCTCTCTGACGGTTCGCTCGAATCGATCCTGCACCTAATCTCGGGAAGTGATTGTTACGCCCTTTCTTCTTTCTTTCCTCCTCGGGCTTAAGCATAATAATGTTGCACGATGTTATCATTTGTTATTTATCACTATAGCAAGATATTATCTCGCCTCCGTATGTCCATAATTTAGGAGGCGTAACATTCATATGTAATTATATGATTATATGTAATTATATTCCTACTAAAATGTGATGCTCTATTATCTTCTTTTATCAAAAACATACGAAAATGCGAATCACATTTGTCATCAGACTATCACATAATCACTGTAGTTCTATTACTGTCAAAGTAATAAAACAACTGCGCATTAGTACATTTATGCATTTAGTATATTTATTAGCATATTTATTACAAAATCCTTTTTTAGATGAGAAATTAATAATATGCATACGCAGAAAATAATTCATAAAAAGAGAAATATGTAAATTATATTATTACAACGAATAGCTTATAGAAAATAAAACGAGCGAAGTCAAATACCTTTCAATCTGTTCCATCGTTTTATTGTCGAGGATGAACCCGCTTATTATACTGACATATTCATTTATTATGTCACATCACATATGTCGAAGAAAGATATTACTATAGATATATTTCTTCCGATATTATGATTCTTTTATAATTATAGCTTATAACATGTGATCTTTTTACCCAAATAAATGAGGGTATAAAACACAGTTAAATTAAAATATGACACATATACACACGTGCACTTATCCGAATAAAATCGATCAAGCATGTAATTGCTATAAAAGCACGATGTTATATATATGCTTGATATTCGATTCACTTCCATCGGAAGAGCAAAGTTAGCAGATTTTTCCTCTGTAAAAAGAATTTATTTTCAAAAGTTTAATATTCTATTATTATATAGTAAAACTTTCGAAAGTATGTCAAATGTGTCCATCTGTGTTCTTTTCTCGTTATTAATTGTAGGCATATTTTCTCTTACCATAAATAATAATGTTACATCGTCAGAAAAACAGCCTTCCTATAGAATGTTACATCGTCAAAAAAACGGCCTTCCTACAGATTTAGTAACATCGGTAAGTTAATTTTCAACGAATATGTAGAAATAAAAACTGAAATATTTTTATTTATTATAAAAAGAACCCTATTCACGTCATACACGTTTATTACTGTATATTATTATAAATTATCATATAATAATATCATTATAAACTTGTCGAAAAAAATTATTCCTTTTTCATTTGAAAATACATAATAAAATTATTACGAAACATTTTCTCTCTATTATTGTAAATTTATATTAATTCATAGATATTTACTTTAATGAGATGTCTACCAACGGAATCTCATTTGACTTTACTTCTGGGCGGAGATTACAATGAATTTCTTGTACACTCACATAATAATATGATACTCGTAGTATTGATAGATGAAACGAATCCTCGACTTGATACCCTCCAGAAATTTGCCCTGTCAAAATATTCCTATTTAATGTTCAAGAATTACAGTTTCACTCATTATCGTCGAGCGCACCATTTCGTGCTGGTGACATCTTCTCAACCTCTCTTGCGAGCTCTGTTAGAAGTAAATAATAAAACAACTTAATAAATATATAATTTTATAAAAATATATATATAATAATATCAAATGTCTCAAAACTGATGATACAAATAAAAAGGAAATGATTCTATATAAGAAAATAAGTCGAAAATATATAGTAAATATAATAAAATTTTATTATATGAAAATTTGTTTCTTAGAAAAACGAATTTGATATTCAAATAGGCGTGCTTAATTATCTTTAGTATAGCCTAAATTATATGTTTTACTCATATTTATATTTTTTTGTATCAATTCGGACAGGTTACTTTTAAAGATGATAAAAATTTGTTTTGTTTCTTCTTCTTTTCGAATCTTTATATTTCAAACTAGACAATTAAATGGGGTCTTCTTCTTTTCGAATCTTTATATTTCAAACTAGACAATTAACAGGTCTACAAAAAGCAGTAGGTATTGTAAATTGATGAATTTTTTGACGCAGAAAACGAAACTAGCTGCAAAATTTCCCTAGCACATCTGGTTTTCAAGTAATTTGTGATTAAATAATCCAAAAATGGCTATTTTGGTTATTTTGATAAATTTATTATGAGGAAACTTAATTTTTTAAAATATTTCTACTAATGGCATCATATAATACTAATCTTTACCTTTCAAATTTATTTTCGATTGCTACTGTACGATTTTATTTCGCTAAGATATACAAGTATAAAATTATCAGAAAATTTACGTTAAAGGAAATTTACATAGGCCTTAAAATAGGACAGCCGGCATCTTGAAATTTGAAAAAGTTTACATCTGTCGGGTTTGGTTGTCAAAAAATGTCCTGTAGAAATATATCTGATAAATAAATATATAAATATATTTGATAAATTTTGATAAATTTTATACCTCTTCGTTGTGATTCTGTCCGCTACATTATATCTGTTATTTTTAATTTCAAAAAATGATAGTATTCAAAAATTTATGTTTTCATCCAAATTTTGATTCATGGTAATACAGAGAGATAATACGATTAATTTGGAATAGCTTATTGGACGATTATGCATGACCAGTTTTATAAATTATATGTATATCTTAGGGGAAAAAAACCAATACAGGATATATATGCAAATGGTGGAAAATCAAGTATGTCTTTCAGTAGTTTCCAAGAAAATTATTATAAAAATTTATCTTAATTTTATATATATATATATATATATATATATATATATATATGTGATATATAATAATCTTACAAAAAATATATGTAGAAACTTATCTCTTATTACGTTGTTTATTACAAATCTTGTTTCGGGATAATAAGAATTAAATATAAAGAATAAATAGCTAATAATAAAAAAAGAAAAAGAGTAAGAGAGAGAGAAGGAATAAAGAAAAAGAGGAATTCCTTTTTTATGTATTGCATAGCAAATGAAAACTTTTAAAATCCATCGTCTCCATAGACGAGATTAAAAAGTATATTTTATTTATTTTTAGATACTTATATCCCCATACGACATCAGAATTTTCCGTGATTGCGCAACCAAAGAAACCGATTTCCGAATTTAAAAAGATAATAACCTTTCTGTCACCAGAAGTAATAGTTGGATTACTCGTGATATGTTTGGTAACTTACATAGTTTTTGTGAAAAGTGTGGGATATATAAAGGCTGGATTAGAGGTTATAAGACTAGTAGTTGGGGTAGAATTTTTATATTCATCCAAAATGAATTCCGTAAGGATCTTCATATGTATGATGTTAATTTTGTTCCTTAATATAAATGCTCTCTTCCAAAGTCACTTGTCAACTTTACTTACTGTGCCGGTCTATGATCGCGACATCGACAACATACAAAGTCTCAAGGTAATGGAAAATCTCATTTTCTTGATTTTCCTCCTTAGATTTATATTCCAATTTTCGCTAAATTAATAATAGGTTTTGTATGTATAGTGTGTCTTCAATCTTATTTAAATAAATATGCCAAATTATTTTACAAGTAACAAAATGTAAAATTTGTTCTTAAGTTACTTTATTTAGAAACTGAAGATTTATATATCTATATGCAGTATAATTAATTTTTTTGTAAGTAAAAATGTAAAAAAGATTTTAAAGATAATTTTATTCTTTAAATGATATATTTTCTATCTTTGATATGATAGTAATTATTTAAATGAGTTCAGTAAGCTACTAATTGAAGATTATTTAAAATTATGAAAGATTGTAAATTAATACAATTCTTTAAAAAAAACCTAACATAGATAGGGGAGTAGAGAGACAAAAGTAACATTTTTTGTATTATAGGTCATTAATTACCGTTAGAGATATAACAAAAAAGATTATATGTTAAAAACCTCCATTTAATGTTCTATTATTATACCTTTGTTTCAATCTCAAATGATAGATATTTAAAAGCTACTATAGCTTTTCGCAAGTACGTTGATTGTTACTTTTATTCTGATGACCTGAGGACGAAAGTATCATAGTCTGAGGATAAAAGTACCAGTTCTTATTTTTGGGAAAATAAAATAAATATGACTTTTTCAATTTAAGGCAACTTTTATTATAATCTTATTTTTATTATAATCTTATTATTATATCTTTTATTAAGCAAGATAACTTTTATTATAATTTTTTTTGTATTATATTAAAATAGAAAATAAAATAAATATTTATTTTTATCATCTTCGAAAAACTTAAAAGAAATAATCTTTGTTAAGCAAATAATTATAAATAATATCATAAAATAATTATACTTAATATTACACCAGTTTTGCACCTTTTTAAGTCTAAATAATAGTTTAATTCTAAATAATAGTGTAAAAATTGTACTACTTATACAAAAGAGATTGGTATCTATTCCGAATCACAATTATGGTATACGTAATAAGAATCGCCTTTGGTACAGTTACTATGGGACCAGCCTCCTTAGATTTTAAGCATTGAAACATATTACTTTCATCTACAGAATGTCGTGTTACTTTTGTCTTCGAACACATTTTGTAAAATAAAAGCATTATATCCTAAATATGATGCAAGACTTAGCCAAATCAACTATAAAAATTTATGAATATATTGCAGAAAAATGCAAATAATTACGCCAATATATACACTTTAATTAGGCTTTTATATACACTTTAATAGATACGAAAAAATTAAAACAAGAAAGACTTAGGTGAATAATGCAAATACACTAATTTCATATGCAACCGGTGCGATCGTTCTACAACAATTAGCTGAAAAAAAGAGAATCGGGGTGTATGCGTTTGACTATATAGTACAAATTATTCATCACATATCAACATATCAACATATTGTGTAATTTTGTAAGAGACTTGTTACTTTCGTGACGCTATTACTTTTGTCCCCGGTCTCTCCTACTATTAAATTAGAGTTATTATATCAAATTACACATATTGGTAAACATAAATTAAAAATTAATTTAATGAAGAAATGAAAATTAATATAATGAAAAAGATGTTCAATTTAGAAACTTACATAACTTAAATAACTTTTTATAAAGTTATTGTTTTAAGCGTTATCACACTAAGAACAAAAAAAATAACGTTCAAAAAATTGAATTGATTTTTAAATCTTCTTTATATTAATAAAATTTTTATAAACTTTACTTTACAAATACATCCTCTTAGCATTTAGAATTATCTCTTTTACATTTTATGCATAAATTACAATATTTGTTTTAAATTAAAGCAACTGTTATAGCAACTGTTTGAGTTTCAGTCACAAACTTTTTATTAAAAATTTTTTAATAAAATAGTATAAATTTAATAATATTAATTTAATATAATATTAATTTAATTTAATATTAATTTAATAATATTAATTTAATATAGTATAAATTTAATAATATTTTAATGTAAGTAACACATGTTAGTTTAGTTGATACTTTTTTTTAGGATGCCGGTTACACTTTATATGGACCGAAGTTCTTGAAGAATTGCGATCTTGAGCTCCAATTGCGCTACAAGA